GAAGGAAGGTTGGGCAATCTACTTCCATAGTGATACTGCGTCGGAAACCCACGGAGGGGTCGCTATGAGTCGGGTCTGACTCAGTGGCACATAACAACAGTTCATATAAAGGAGCTCTGTTGGTGATGTGGTTAAAGCATTGAGCTACTTACCAAAAGGTTGGCAGTTCAACCACTCCACAGGAAAAAGATGAGGCAATCTGCTTCCATAAAGATTTACAGCCTTGGAAATCCTATGATGTATTTCTACCTTGTCCTACTAAGGTCATTATGAGCCAAAATTGACTGGAGTTTTGGTTTAGTTCATGTAAAAATTTTCTCTTACATAAAGTCAAATCATTTTTTTATTTGAACAGGAAAATAAAAATACTTACCTGCATCTGTTCAAGAACTGAGAAGAAAGTTTGGGTACCATTTTTAATTATTGTAGACTTATTTGTAACTTCATGTCTATTTTATATTGTAAATGTACATATAATGATAAATAATATTACAGATATGTATATTAAGCCTTAGAACTTTATTTGCTGGTACTTAAAATTTTTTTTTTAATCTGTTCATTCTTTTAACACGTATTTAAGGGGCACTCATTATGTGCCAGTCACTATGTAATTTGGGGTAACAGAACAATAAACATAAATAAAAATTTACTAGAAGAACTAGATGGTGCCTCCCTACCACTGCTGACCACTCTGAAAAGGATAACAATGGGAGGTCCCATAGAGTGGGAGAGAAATGTGGAACAAAACTCAACATTATATTAAAAAAGATCAGGCTTACCAGTCTGATAGAGACTGGTGGAGCCTTGAAGACTGTGGCCCTTAGACACCCTTTAAGCCTGGAACTGAACTCACCCCCATGGCTCAACTTTCACCCAAAGGATCGGCCTATAAGGTGAACAGTAACACCAAGGAAGTACGCATTCTTTAGAACAGTCAACCATATGAGATGAAAAAGACTCAGGCATAAAGCTCATAAGGCAGGAAGGCATAGGGGAGAAGGAAAAAAGGGAAGAGTAAACGAAGGAAGTAGAAGAATGCTGTTACATTGTAGGAATTGAAATCGGTGTCACAAAATGTATATGAATCATTGAATGGAAAACCAATTTGCTCTGTAAACATTCACCCAAATCACAATGAAAAAAAAAGTAAGTGAAAATATTGCTAGCAGAGATCAGAAAA